CGGGGCCCCTGCGGGTGGGGGTGAGACGGAGTGGGGTCCCCGCGTGTGCCAAGGCCCCGCACACCCACGAGCTGTGCGGTGCGTGAACCCTGTGAGGCGGTACCTCTGGTTGTTCCGGAACCTGCCCGCTCCCCCCCTGGGTCAGTGTGAGCTTCCCACCCCGGCAGCTGCTCTGAGGGCCGCGTCGCCCTGTCCCGCGTCAGTGACACTGTCTGCATGAGGCCTGGGTCCCGACCTCGAGCTGTTTAACGGTGTCTTTGCTTTCACGGTGGCCGAGCGCCGGCCTCAGGGCTTGGTGTCCATCGGCACCTGTTTGGAGGGAGGACGTGGTGCCTGGCCTGGTCCGCGGACGGCTGCACCTGAGGCCCCGACGCTCCGTCCTCAGGACCGATGCTGCGTGGGTGAGACGGTCACTCCTCCCCCTCCGGGTCCTGGCGGAGCCGGGAACCACATGAGCAGGAGACAGGTTCGCAGGAGCGTGACCAGTCGTGTGGCGTCTGTGCGGACAGGCCGCCGCCAGAGCATGGGCCCCGGGACAGTCGGCCGGGAGGCTCAGGTGCCGCTGTGAGCGGAGGACACGGGTGGGGATGGGGCTTCGAGGGGAGGAAGGCAGGTCACGTGGAGACAGCAGGGCAGCTGTTGGGTACGTGAGTGCCTGCCGGGCCGCCGGGAGGGTGGACTTTGCTCACACAGGCCTCCCTGCCCCCACACTGGCCCCAGTGAACCGCAGCAGCCTTCTGGCAGGGAAGGCCGGGAGGGGGAGGCCAGAGGCTGAGGTTTTTGTGGGGGTTTTGGGGTATTTTTTTTGGTTGTTTTTTTTTTTTTTTTTTTTTTTTTTTTTTTTAGTCTTTTGTTTCTTAAAAATAACCAGCTTAAAACAGTCACATCCCGGCAGCCCTGCCCGGTGGCCCCGGGAGAACAGGCGGGTTAGGTTACTGCCTCAGGTCACACGCTAGAGTGTTTGACGTCTACTTCAGGCATGTGACCTGGCCGGTGGCGTCCCTGTGGACACGGGTGCGTCTGCAGGGGCTCCAGGGGGCAGGTCCCAGGTGGGGACGATGCTGGACCTGACCCTCATCCTGTTCCAGGTCCCCAGGCAGCGAGGGGCGGGGGGCGGTGGCCAGTCCCCGTCTCTCTGGTCTCCCGTTATGTCCAACACCTGACTTCATTCTCTTTGGGGCAGTTACCTCCCCACACCCACTTCCTCTTCGTCTCTCGCTTTCGGGGGGACTTCCTGCAGGGGCCTCCCGCAGGCTCCGTACAGGGGTGTCTGCTGGGGGGGTGGGGGACAGGCCCCGCTCCGGGCACCTGAGGACGGGGAAGAACCGGCAGGGCTCTGAAGGTCGCCAGGGAAGGTCACTGAAATAAACCCCGAGGCAGCATAAAGAAATGAGGCTGATGAAGGACTGGAGGGAGCGGTACTGAGACAGTCAGGCTGCAGTAGCCAGGCCTTTCACTCGGTGGGTTTAGGCCGACAGCGCGTGGCCAGGAAGGACACGTCGGCATCTCCCGCCTGACGCCCGGAAATTACAGCTTTTTGGTGGAAATGGTGGGTGAGCTCCACCGGCCGAAGCTTCCTTTTTAACGGCCTTTCTCGAGGGCCGAGCCAGACCCTCGGAAGCCGCCTGGTGGGTGGTGGGTGGTGGGTGAGTGCCCCCGCCGCCTGGCTTGCCCCGACCCGCTGCGTCCGGGAGGAGAGACCTCGTGAAATAGATTCCTTTTCCTAGATGGTCTCATGAGAATGTTTTTTTCATTTTCAACTTGTTTGTAAGAAAAGAGCACACATTCCTAGATCGTGAATTCTATGTAGCTGGCGAGGCTGCAGGAAGCTCACTTCTTTTCAAAGTATTAGCAGTATTTGGGTGTAAAAGCCAAAACCCAGTCACGTGACGTGGGCGACACCTCATGGTTAGCTCACCACCACTCCCCCCCCCCACCCCCGAGTGGGCTCTGGGGGAGCTCCTGGCCTGTGGCTCCCTCCTGTGCGTGGCCGGCTGCCTGGAGCCCCGCCCCGTAACCAGTTCGTGGGGGGGCAGGTTTGACCCAGGCCTTGCTTTTCCTCTCCTCGCCCCTCCGACGAGAAGAGCCACCAGAGAAGATGGGGTTCCCGCCTGGCCTCGCGGCTTGGGGATGGCCGTGAGCCTTTCCCGTTTGGAACAAAGGAAACGTAAACATGCTCCTGTCGTTTGGGCTGGGTAATTGGGGTCCTTGGCTCAGAAGCACCACCACCAGCCCCCACAAGCACCCCAAGGCCTCCAGCATCACCATCGCCATGCTGGGAAGATGGAGGGAGGGCGTGTCCAGTCCTTGCTGCTGGACCGCTGGTTCCCACAGCCCATGGGAGTGGCGGGCGGGCGGCTGCACTCGGCCTCCTGTGTGGGGAGGGGCTGGGAAAGGCCAGGTCCCCAAGGCCCCTCACAGCCGGCAGCCTGGCTCTGCCACGGGGCCATGGCAGGACCCCACCCAGCCTTCAGTCGAGCCTTTAGTTTTACTAAGAAACGTGCACCTGATAGTTGGAAGCGCTTTTCATTTGAAAGCAGCGCAGCCCTGCGAGGCCGCTCCACAGCGCTGGGCCCTGCTCTCCCGGC